ATAAGAACCTCAAGGTGACAGATTGTTTTCTAATAATAAAAGTAAAAATTTAGGAAATTGGTAATTTTATGTTACATTAAGTAAAATGGAATTAAGATAATAAAAGTAAAAATTAGTATTAAATTAAATAGAACCTGATGGTTAATTAATTTAGGATTAGTTATTAAATTATTTTAATTGTTATTTTCCGAAAGCCTTACACCTTAAGGGAATATGTTGGTGTGTAAAATGTAAAGTTAATAAAAAAGAACCTTCGCCCCAGATTTGTTTGTTTTTTTTTAATATTGTAAATAATTTTTTAAATTTAATCCAACCAATAAATTTTGTTCTTAACGAAGGAATTCAAGATTCTATTCAGAAGGTTTATCTTAAAAGGGTAGAAATAATTGAAAGAATTTAGGTACCTAAGAAAGGAAAAACTGTTATCGGACAGAAGACTAAACTTTCATTGTTTTGTTCTTATCGTTACTATTATATAAGCAAACTAGAAAAAGGGTAGATTATTTTAAATTTTAAAAACCGCAAGCAATGCTAATTATTACTTTATTACATTTTTTATAGTGTCATTTTATAACGGAAAATTTTATTGAAAAGTAAACGGCACAATTTTCCCAAATAATGCTAATAAAGTTTTATGTCTCTATTTTTAAGTATAAAAAACTATCAATAAAATAGTATATCTAATCGTAATGTACAGTAGGCATCGTAAAAATACCTACATTCGGCTAATACACAAAACAAAGTGGAAAACATTCATTTACATCAAAAGTATTTAATGTTACTAAATCAAAATTACTTTCTTAGGCTGTTTATAACAAATTTAAATAGATTATTTTATTAATATCGAAAATATTAGCTGCTCACAAATTTGGACTCGCACTGTAGCATGTCTATCTATACTTTTAAACAACTGCGCACAGGCTTAATTTTGGATAAAAGTAGGATGATAATTAAAAGAAATAATTTTAAATACTGCTTGTGATTGCTCCTCTTTCGGCAACCCACTGTACTGCAACGTATTCTTGTCTGCAGTGCAGCAGGAGCAGACTACTAAATTTTGGTACTCCAGGAATTTAATTTAGCAAAGAAGTTAGAACGTATTTATATTGGAGGTTGAAAGTGCTCCTCGGTAATTTCCAACTATAAAATTCTTTTCACTCATTCAACAAAGTTAATACATTTTGATACTTTCAACTCGTTTAATAAGAGAGAAATTAATTTTAAATTTAAAGAAATGAAAAAAAAAAAATCCTACCTTATCAATGCATTTGGATGGAACAACTTTGGAATAGCAATATTGTAAAGTCTACCCTCTTGGTCAACAACTCCAAATAGTAAAAGAAAAATCCGCAGAAGAATGGTTCAAGTACTGAAACAATAAAGATTTTATTTTATAATTAATTGGAAAAAATGAAGAAGAATGTTACGTATTATATATTGCGAATTGGTCACGCCNAGAAGAAACACACACGATAACGAAACGTTGAATCATGTAGAACTCGTAGGGTAAATGCAAAGCAAATTAGGAAGAATATGCAGTAAGCTAAGCGAAGAGGTAAGCAAGGTTAGACTATACTACAACTACTAAACGTGTTATTTCTACTACTACACTACTACTAAATAAATAAAAAAAAATAAAAACATCTACATTCAACAATTACTTTAAATTAAATGAACAAAAATAAGCATGCAAAATAAAAACTAATTTAAATAAAATAAACTACAAAAAAACATGCAAAATAAAAGAACTAATTTGAACAAAATGAACCTGAATTCTAGTACATAGAGCATGCAAGATATAGAACTATTTTAACTACGGGGTCATCTTTGTCTTCTCCAACGTCGACCTGAAACAGATACGGTGGTAACAGATTAATATGGAGCAATTAAAATTAATAATATCAAGTATTCTCACCTTAATTAACTATAGACCGTAATGTTCCAAAGTATGCAGGTGTGAAAAGCAAATCAAATCCAAGAGGAATGCCAATGCAGAAAATTTCTTATTTCAGTGGAATTCACAGAAGTATTCAGTTGCTCTCACTCATCACTTGAAAATTAACTGCATAATGTTGCAAGGTGAAGACGAAAACAGCAAACCAAGAATGAAGTCCACCAAACATTGTACATGTTGTTTCAGTACCATCAACTTGAACTTTATTTCTCTCCCATTTGTCAAACGATCTGTAGAGATGGACAAAAAAGAGTATTAATTGCACAATCAATCAAAAAAGGGATTTAAATTAAGTAAAATAATGCACAAAAACGCAAGTAAAACACCTAAATTATAAAAAGGCGACGAGACGTCAACTTTATTCATGTCATACATAAATGTTAAAGGCAATAGAAATAACCGTAGATGCACGATGTCAACTTATAAAGTGGACAATAGATAGTTAAAAGAGAACTCCATAGACAAACGGTAACATCGATTTATGCTGTGAACAATAGATAACTATCAGAAGTAAAACCATAGATGTTACAGGTGGCAAATTACTATGAAAACTGAGTAACTTCAAAATAATAGCTCACCTTGAGTATCACTATACGGTGCTCGAATTTTATTCCTTAGTAGATGCTGATGAAAGGAAATAAGTGAAATAAGCCAAACATCGCACAGCAACCATTCTTTTATGCAACAGTGTAATTCGGATTGAATATATTTTCTGGAAATTGCACCTTCACGCCCAAGGGGAGGGAAAATTAAAGGGGCTCCACTTCTCCAGGTTTTGAATCCTTCTTATTTTCTGTCTCCTTGTTCATTTAATACATTTAAATGCATCCTGTTGAAACAATATTATGTTAGCTTCATTTTAAAATATTTAAGAACCATAACTTTCACCAATTAAATAATAGACTATCAAAATCNAAAAGTCTAAATAATTTTAAAACTTTACAATAAAATTTAGGTTTCGTGTTTGTTTAAAGAATCTTTTTGAGTTGTAATAGTCTGGCACATACAATATTGGGAACAATTGCATTGATTTCTCCTATGACTAAATAAATAAATAAATGTAACTTACCATTTGTTTATGTTTTAGATAGATAAAAGACATTGGAACATCTAGGATGAATTGAAAGGATTGCTTCAATCAATGTCCAACTCTTTTGATAATATTCCTGTAAAGTAAATTGCTACATGTTACATTTATAACTTTCAAATGTTCTTTAATTTAGTCTCTGCACATAATATTTAGAGAATATGGTAACAGAATTGTTGCATATATTCTCACCTCAATAAACTACCAAATGTTTCGACCATTTCAACGTAATGAAAAGAAAGGTATCTATGGGGAAGAACAAACAGCAAAAAGCAAATTGAAGTACAGGAAGAACCAAACACGACAATGACTGCATCATTGCACACAATTTCATTTGTCGATATTTCGGTAGTATCCAGATAAACGTCAATTTTCTTTAATTTACAGGCCAATCTGTAAAAAAAGGGTTAGAAAAACGTAATTAGCTAATAACCATAATAAGAAATAAAATGAAAACGCACCTACTAACAATGTAACAAGTAGAACCATACAATAGTTTATAGAATGGTTCAAAATTAATAATTGTAAAATAGGATAAACGAACAATGAATATAATTTTTCACTGCTTCTAATATAACCACAAGCATCTTATAGTGAAAATGACAATAACAATGTTGTCATTCTTATAAGACCTTATTATTAAATTATGCCTAGTGAAATTATGGACGTGACCTATAGACTAACCATTTCACTGATGTTAAATGTGTTGCATATCCAAAGCTCCTAAAACTATATACAGGGTGTCTTTAGAAAGTTATTTTACATAATACGTGTATACCTTTGAAAAATATATTAATCTAAAATCTTTATTTATACTATATATAAAAGTACATCAGAAAAATTGAAAATATTTTTATCATTTTTAATGCAGTCTCTTTTTGGAACAAAAAATAGTGGTATAATTATCATAAGCACATTTCAATGCATTTCGTTATCAATATATAAACTTATACATATATAAAAAAATAATATTTTCATAAAAAAGCACAAGGAATTACTTAGCACGCTTAATCACTATCAATAATTAAAAAAAAATACATATTTCGAAGAATGTCACAATAAAACAAATGAAAATGAGATCGTCGAACTAAAATGGCATTTGATTTGGAAAATTTCAACATTTTCTTTTTGTTCATTTCATAAAACTTATTATATGCAATTGCTGCAGTGATGCTGCGAGGAGAGAAATAAGCATTTTGTCTGTCTCTTGCTCAAGGGACCATTTATGTTTCCGTTTCTTTTCCATATTTTTCTATCTCAGGATATATAGGACTCATTTCCAAAGTCGACGGAGCTGAAGGTAAATTGCTATTGCTACCAAAATTTAAGCGTCGCACGAACTCATCTAGTATTTCTCCAAACACCATCAAGTTCATATTTTGGCCCAGCAAGTGCAGCAATAAGAAATCACCAACCTAAACAAAAAAAGAAGTTGCATCACTGGAGCTAGAGACAGTCTTAAATAAAATACAAGAGCTTATATAACAATTGAAGACGAAAAACAGAAGAAGTACCAATTTTTGAAATCTAGAAAGTTAGATAAGTCAGAATGCACACAAATAGTTACAGATCTGGATGAACATCAGTCTTGGGACTGATGATGATCACTTTAATTCACTTATTACTCTTTAAAGAAGCATTCAACTTTTGAAACAATGAAAGAGTGGATAGAAACTTCAATTTTTTTATACAATGTAGAAATCTTCCCGAAGTGAGTTAGTTTTAATATGAAATATTCTCAATTTTTACCCACTACACACTTCCTCGAATTAATGAGGAAAAATTGTTGCTGTTGTCACACCCCCGCCGGGAATCGAACCCGTAGCTTAGNAGCTTAGTGGTCAAAGCATTGGCGCGTAAAGCCAAAGAGCCCGGGTTCGATTCCCGGCGGGGGTGTGACAACAGCAACAATTTTTCCTCATTAATTTGAGGATGTGTGTAGTGGGTAAAAATTGAGAATATTTCATATTCAATTTTTTTGTCAATCATTTGTTTTAATGTCTTACCTGAGTTTTCCTAACAATTGTTTCGACTGCATCGGGCGTTCCGAATCTAAATCGTCTTCTTAAAATAAATTCTCTCGTATTTGGCAATAGCACCACTGCGGCAGAGTAGACTAAAGCCAAGCCGGACAAAACGGCCAAAAGTATAAACCAGAACCATAAGAAGATATATATCTTTTCGTTGAGAATGTTTAGCGCCAAAACGCACAACGCATCATGCTTCTGAATCGATCCGGATGGACCGAATTTGTGGAATGTACATTTCGTAACTCTGGGGAATATGCGAACCATGGGGTCAGTACGATTCTCTTGGTCCATATTTGAAAACGATATCACATCCGAACCGTACTGTAAGAACGTTCCGCCCAAAAATTTGTCCGTGAAAAATATGTTGAAAAGCTGAAAAATTCACACAAAATCAAAAACATTTCTGCAGTGTTTCGATTTTGTTTTTTCGGTCTTCTTTTTTTTATTTTCTCATGAACCTAGACGATTTTCGATAAAAAAATAATGGAAGCTCATGATTCGTTAAATTTTTTGAGACTTCAAAAACTACTTTTTGTGTCAATCTTTATTTTGGTATCATTATTATCTATCTACAATTAAACGACCATTTTTAATCTCGTATCTACATAATTTTGTTTAACTTTTTCGTTTAAATTATTTTTGTACGCGCGTTGGTGATAACAGCACAACAGTTGATTAAATTGTTTGCGTTGTTAAGTTATTATACTTACGACATTAACAAAATTGAGGCCTTCACATATGAAATATCCAAATGCGTACGTATTATGCATGTGAAGGGTTTCGATAAGGTACTGAACAAGGCGCGACTGTCGGTGACTTCTTTCTTCTTTGGCCCCTACCAAACACCCTCGCATTCCATCAGTAATCATCCTCACTTTTCCTTCTTCCCAGTTCTTCCAAACCCAATGTGGTATATAGAAAAGAATTCCCTAAAATATTAAAAAAAAAAGGAATAAAAACACTTCAGTTTTGGATGTAAAGATGTAATTTTTTTCCAATAATAAACGAGTTATTTCCACACCTGGAAGAAAAGGAAAAAGGGAACCCATTGGTAGTAACTATGGTACATCTTCTCCTGATTTTCATTTCCCAGACCGGGATGTGCGACATGTGTACCCACAGGTTTATTTTGTTCATGGGGTAGGGTAAATGTGTACGTAATCCAACAATAAGTATTAATAACATGTCCTGGGACTCCCCCATCGTTAATACATTGAATTGGATCTCCTAAAAATTAAATTTGGGTACCAATGCATGCAGAGTAGCAGTACAGTTTACTTACCAATTAAATTGTTTGCTGTAACTATAATACAACAAAGGAAAAGGATGGCTGATGTAATTCGATAATGCGATCGGAAAATTATGTTATCGATTATGGCTTTGTCAACAAGGTAACGGACCTTTACAAAGCCCGCAACTGCGGACACCATGCCAAACACAGACATGTTCGTTTGTTATTTTTTTCTAAAACAATCAAACAAACTGCTTATTTGTTTATTTATTTGCATACAAACAGGTAATAACAACGTTGTTCTTTTGTTCAACAACATATAAAAGAGAGTTTTAATAACAAAACAACACTTATTAGTATTGTTACTCCAATCGGTTAGAAAATGATCAGAAGAATAAAAATACAGGGTAAATTCTGAAATATTTTTTTCCTGAAACTACGCTGTACGCATTTTTTTTTTTTGGATCCTAAACAAATCTAAAGATTCGAATTATTATTTTCTAAAGCACGTTAAAGAAATAAAAACAAATGGTTGTCAATTTGGTCATTGTGCATAAAAAAATGGACATAAAAACAGATAAAAACTTTTTTGCCTAATCGTATAGTACCTACAAGGAGCTAAATGACTTATGTTCAGTAAAATTAGCATTGAAGGAATTACGTCACACAATAAATTGTCAATTAAGTCGTATGTAAAGTGTACAATACATATTCACATTATGTACGAAAATCTGAAACCGAATGAAAAACTAAAAAAATACGTAAGCAACTACAGTTTCTGTACATTTTGGTAGGTTTGCGTACCTCTCTGTATTTTTAGACTGCTAATGAATTTTATTATTTAAAAGGACAGTATCTCGTTAATTAATTCATTGATAGGAACTACCAACAATAGAATTTAATTAGAAAATGAGACTGCAATTGCACTTGTAGTTACATAATATTGGTGGGGATATTAGGAAAATTTATAAATAGCGTATAGGAAAAATCAACCCGAAAAACTGTTTGAACTTGTCACGTGGAAATTAACTAATAAGAACTAGAGTAATTAATGTAAGTATTTACTGCAGATATGAAATAGAGAAAAGTAGTATATAAAGTCGGCTAAAATTTTTAATAGATACACGTTTTACGTTATATTTTTTTGGTACCTTAAAAAGGGCCCTTTACATTATGTTGTTAATATGTAATATTAGTAAAATATGGAACAGAATTAATTAGGTACGTATTTAATTTTAAATGATATTTAAATCGTCATGAAAATATTAATTATAAAAGTTACCTAGTAAAAAATATCATATAATGAAGATATCAATCGTTTATTTTATGATTTGATTCGATAATGATTAAGATGATTGTAATATAGTGATCAAATAAATTGGAAAATTCAATTCGTTCACAAATTCTGCGAAATATCTTACTTCAGTATACGTAAAAACCAAATCAATTAGTGCCTTTTATTGCTGTGGTTTAGTAAATGAATAAAATGGTTCGTTAACAATTGGTAAAAAACAAATGAAATAAGAGTAATAAAAGTAAGGGTTTAACTATAAGATAGATAAATTCTAGTGATTATAATGATCATTGAAAGATAATTAATTAATTTTTTACGTATTTATTTATTATGTAGCAGGCACCATCAGCCACTAATGAAACAAAACTTGTCCATTGCTAAGTACTTTATCGACATAATATATTCAACTTATCTATTATCGTGTAATAACAATAAAAACAACTGTTGCTCTACTTTGATGTTCTAAATTGAACTATGAACGTCTCTTCGAAAAGAATAGAAATTTCTAAAGTTTTGGTCATAACTTGCAGGTTTTTAGCGCACACAAATTGAGTGAATTGATCGTAAATTTACGAAATTTATGTAATTAGGAAACGGTTCAAGACATTTAAGTGACCCTGAAGTCAACAACGAAAAACAGTTGAAAGTTTTGAGGACATTTAACAAATTCTCGAGTATTTAATATTTAATTAATAACGTTCCCATGCAAATTAATCACTTCTTCAGCATTTCCAGATTACAATATGTAATGTAAACCGGTTTTGAACACTGATTCTTCCTAGGTGCAACAGGTTCGACCCAACGACAAGAAACGGACCTTTTGGTAATTCAAACTTACCTTACACGCACACAACAATCAGGAAAACTGTAAGGGTATCCTTTTTAAAGTCCTTGGCGAGGAAAACAGAGTTTTAGTGCAACAAATTCCACTCGAAAAACCACAATTTCTCATAAATGCATCACCACTTAGGTACCGTATGCTTACAGAAGTATACGAAATTGTTAAACTCCTCGACAAATACAAATGCATACCATCCACACATCCAGTGACTTTTGGTGGGGAAAAGCGACTGCCCCCTTCGCTCTTTTGTGTAAATTTTCTGTCCTCGTCGAACACATACTTAGTAATAAATTAATAGTACAACATTCCTATAGCAACAAAAGTCGAACGGGCAATACACCATATATCATTTAGCCTTTTTTTTATAAAATCTTACTACATGTTACGTGAAAAAGACGAAACGTTTTATTATTATTATTACTATAGTGCAAAACAATATAATTTTTAATTAGCCGTTAATAAAGAGAGATGCTTAACTTAATTTATATCGGGCACATAAAACTTTGGTACCAAATCACGCAACCTTCTTATCTATCGTGTTGGTGAACGAAAGAAATTTCTTTACGGTTTGTCAGCTCAAGGAAATGCAACAATAAATAATTGAAAACAAAAAGTTGTTGGGCAATTTACTGTGATTGTTATTTTGCACGCTAGAAATCAGCGAAGAAAACGATTATGCGCAAAAGCAATAAGTAATGGTTTAATATGTAGGTACCAAAAAAAAAAACCAAGGATAAGAGGGTCTAAAAAACCATCTGCAGATAATTACTTAATACTGATATTACTTATTGGAACAGCCCAAATATACATATTCAACATGGTTTCATGTGCTTCATCAAAATAAATAAAATCGATAACTATCAAAATGACAATAAATAAAAAAACGTAAAGAAACGTAATATTAACAAAAGAAACTATTTCAATGTTTACTAATTGTAAGTACTTGATAAAAATATCGTCTTTATTTTGTATAATGTCTGAAATGGTGTTAATCAAACATTAAAACAAAAAGGACTATTTATGTATTTCTTGAGTTTCTTTTTTTTAATTCAGAACATTAAAACAGTGCTTTATTTGGATTATTTTTAATTAAAACTTAGAATTATCAAATATGCCGTGTTAAAAAAAATGAGAACTGAAGAAAACCGTATCGCTTTTGTTATTTTTGAAGGCGTCAAAAAAGTTATGATTTAATTAGTTGGGCCAACCAAAATTGAAAAATTCTCGTAGATATGAATACTTACTGAATATTTATTTGAAATATTTTATCTGTTAAGGAGAATACATTTACAAGTCCTATAATATATTACATACGTGACCACTTGCCAGTTTTCTTTATTATATGTGTTTGAATAGTGATTATGAAGCGGTTTCTTTTGTAATCAAAAGTTCTATTTTTGTTTTTTCTTCAGCTTACTATATTATTTACTGTCTACATATTTTAACCAATTGAGTATTTTAATATGTACGTGTTTAACATAATAACTTTGTCTTCAAATTTATAATTTTATTAATATAACCAAGTTAAGTATAATATTCGTATTATTCGTTTTATAATAATTTGTTCACAATTCTTAATTTTAGATGAATATACAGTTACATTTACTTAAACTGTCACATGATAGATACCTAATATCATAGTTTTTGTGGCAGTTTCTAAGAAGAATGGGTTATTCACTTATTGCAAATATTAACCGCACGTATGTAATCCAACAAGTTTTGCACGATTTATATGCAACAAGTTGTGTGCTAGCACATGTATTTAAAATTCTAATCATCATTTACTCGTAAAGGAAATTATTTTATGCAGGTTATTGTTTCAGTTGCTTCCCACATGAAAGCCTATTCGTAATAGGGTATACGTGAAAATGCCACACAATGAATTTCCAGAAAAAATTGTTTTAGTTGTATGTACTTGATACTTTTATTTTTACAAGCATCTTTACTAACAAATGTACACGCTGCTAACAGACAATAGTTATTTAGTGAATATCTACGCTAATTTAAACAGTGTTAACTGATTGTCAATTAGCATAAGTAGCACTTTTAAAAGCTGATAATTAGTGTTAATTCATTATAAAAATGCATCATCAAAAACCTTTTCTTGAATTAAAATCGGAAGGGATATCGTAAAATACACAAAAAAGTTTTTTCTTAAACTATTTTGACTGATTAGAATAACATTTTTGTTTACTCTAAAAACGTTTATTACTTAAACGTATTAATNATGATAGCGATTAATAAAAAAATACGAAACGAATTACTTACATGTAAGTTGTTATTAAAACTAGTACCATTACGATTTCAATTTAAATAATTTTCTGAAAATTAACATGTGCTGCAATCTGTGAGGTAGGTGCTTAAGTATGTTTACACTTTTGTTCAAATTGCTGCAGATTGTGTTGCATAATATTAGGAATCTGTTTTGTTTTGATAATGACAGCTACAGTCTACAATAAAAATCATATAAAAAAAATAATGGCTGCAAATGAAATGGTTTCTATTGATTAAAGTGTGTGTTTAGCAGTATATTTACGGTAAAGTCATGTAAACAGTGAATAAGAAAAGTAAAAAACATGTGGGTTCCTACAAAGTCAAAAAAATACGGTGTCGGTGAGTAACATTATTGTTTTATTACAATAAATTATTGATATTTTTTGAAACAACATTTAAGAACAATTTATTTTGGAGTAGAATTTAAAAATTTTTTATAACTGCGTTTACAAAGTACATCGTCTTTGATTTACACTCTTTAATTGTTACATCAATACTTTTTTTTACGAAACATAACTTTGTACCTGCATTGTTTTTATGCAAGTTTAATCGGAGGTGTAATAACTTTGTGTATTTTTTGATAATGAACATTTGAAAATGGAACAATGTACTTTATTTTATTAAACGGATTTAAAACGATATTGTTATTAATAATGTCTCCAAAATCACAGTCTAACAAACAAATTTATATTTAAAGCGGCCGCTTCCTGTGTGAACGAATGTAGAGTCGCATTTCAAGGGTTATTTCCTTTTGAAAACTCAACGAGAATATATAATTAAGGCTGTTGAGAGAATTGCTCAAGCTATATTGTCATTACGTATACAAGCAATTTGATTACTTGTTATCCAGGTGCTTTATTCTTGGCATGTTATTACAATTATCAAAAGAGCAGCAAAAAAATCTTTTATAGGTTGTTGATTACGCTGCTGTTATTTTTATTCATATACAGGGTGTCTCCCTAAATTCCGTACGTTTGTATCTCCAAACACTTTTATTTAATGTACATCACAATAACTATAAAATTAACTAAACCCAAAACTTAATTTTTTAATTTCTATTTTGAAAGATAAACTTGCAGTACCTATTAATATTTATTGTTGTAAATTTTCAAATCTTATCGGAATGTTTAGTTGTATAGAAAAGCTGTTAATTTATTATTAACAGGTTTAAGCTATTATTTTTAGATATTGTATTAAGTGAGTCGGTATAAAATCATTACTTAACATTACAAAGGGCTTAATTAAAACTATTAAATATATTCGTTAAATAATTTTCATTATTTTGGTAATTAAGGTCGTTTAAAAGGTGTTCAAGAGGTAAATGTTCTTAAACTAATTGTCCATAATATACAAAGTTATTCTCATATATGTGCTTATTAAATTATGAAATACATGTACGTAAATAGAAGTTATCAACTGCATGTAATTAACTGGAGTTTTGCAATTCAAATTATCTGAAAATGAGAATAAAGATCATTAGCAAATTCTAAGAAACTACATGTCTAATAACATTAGAAATCATGTTAACTTGAAAGTAATGTACAGGGTGGCTCAATATTGACACATAACAAAACTGTTAAAATTAGTCCAAAAGCTTATTTATATTTTATACGTAAACAAAGTCGTTTGCAAGCTAACATTAAGTTTTAATAGACAGTAAAATGCTAAAGTAATTTATTTTAAAATAAATAACGTTAACGCCGTGCATACACGTACATAGAGTTAAGTTTATGTAATTATTGCATCATACAATTAATTTCTGTATAATATCACTATCCAATATGCATATTTATGAAAATAAAATTAAATATACAAGGTGTACTATTTAAACAAAATTAAAACTATGTTGTTTATAAGTGATTTTCTTTTTTTACAGCGGTCTACAACTGGCGTGGCGATACGAAGTTTGGTTTACCACTTGAAATAGGGGAAACTGTGCAAATTCTTGAAGAATGTCCAGGTTGGTACAGAGGTTTTTCCACAAAGAACCGTTCTATAAAAGGGATTTTCCCTCAAAATTACATCCACTTAAAAGTATGCAAAGTGGAAAACGAGGGGCTTTTCGAAAGTGTCATTCCCGTAGATGATCCTGTAGTTCGGGAAGTCACCCTCGTACTCAGAGAGTGGGGAGAGATATGGAAGAGACTTTATGTGGTAAGCATAATTATATTTTGTAAGATCAAGAAATAAATAGTTAGCAAGAAAAGAAATCTAGAGAATTACTCCTAATGTAATATGCTTAACTAGTAATCTATTGTTATCACCAGTAATCTTTCAGATAATGTATTAAAAATTAATGACTAATATTCATATTATTAAGCCATCGAATTATACAGACCTAATTGCCAATGTTTTTATTTTAAAAATTCTATGGAATTCTCTGTTCTTTTTTTGTTAATTTTCGTTAGGTGTGGCCAGTTATTTTCCCCTACAATTCTCCCTTTGTTAATTAAGATAATTGAATAAAATAAGTGGTCAGTCGTCACGCACATTTTTTTCGTACAATGGTCTTGCAATTACTTAAATATTTTAAAGGTAAATGTAGGATTTCATACAAGGAAAGGTAACAAAAAAGTAACGAAAAAAATATTTAAATATGTAACGCAATGCACCTCAGATTATATCGGTTTCCATTTCGACATTTCTGTTCTCTTTGCCCATATAATTCGCACAACCATATATGCGAAACCGACAAAGAATGTATGGAATAAACATCGAAAAACCGCAAGACTTGATGCATACTTTAAATCAAAGTTTATTCACTTCCTTGCCAAGCATGCAATAACTTATGGTTGAAAAAGTCTTGATAATTTGTAATTTTTGTTTCAGAATAGAGAAAGTTACAAATTCGACTGTGTCGGAAAAGTGATGCGCGACCTTTTGGAGTGGAGAAGACAGTTGGTGTCAGAAACGTTAACTCAAGATCAAACGAGGGAACTAAAATTGGAGATAACGGGGAAAATAGATTGGGGCAATCGGTGAGTTTTAAAATAATTTAAATTTTTATTCATGAATTTTTGTGATTTTTCTGCTGTTCTTCTGCATAACAGGCAAATCCTACCAAAAAGGTAAAAAAGGGAACTTAGTACGCGTATGCACTTCAGAAAACATTTGTATAGGTATTATATGAAGTATTAAAACACTTAAACTTTCTTCAGAGCTACATTTACAAACTATAATTAAAATGTAGGATACTATGAAACTTTATACTCTATCAAACAAAACCACAAAACTAATTTTCTTATCAATAAAACTCTTTACAAAAACAAAAACAGTTTTATTAATAAAGTTAGTTTTATTATGGTTCCATTTGGTTGACCAGAATGTGTCTTACAGTATCCTATATTATCATATTTTTTGAAATTGTAGCTCTGAAGAAGGTCCACAATAGGTACCGAAACGTTAGCAAAACTATAGACACATGTACAAAACGTACGTACATCTCTGCTTTAAAATCTCTGTCGAAAATTCAGCTTCCATAAATGTGTAGAGAATTTAGAGTGTTCTATTCTGCAAAGCTTTATATCAACATTTTCTACAGAGCAAACACTAGAAGTGACATCATTAAAAAAAATAACACTCACGATTACTAAAACGTAGGATCAATATTTACCATGTACTTATACACTACACTTTCTGATGGAAAGTATTAAAATACTGCTAGATAGAATGATGCACCATTGAAAAACAATGCATACGACGAATATATTAAATAGAATGATTCATTTTTTGAAAACGTTTCTAAGGAATAATTGAAATTGCATCCTAATAACTATTCTAGTGTTAGTAATTAAGTAATTAGTAAATTTTTAATAGCTGGTATTTATATACTTTNAATTTTTAATAGCTGGTATTTATATTTTTATACTTATTTGTAATTTTACTGATGCTTGTCAGTATCAAAAGTACTTTTATTTTCATTCAAGAGGGGTTGAAAATGGGAAATTTAAACTTTATATACCAGGGTCAAGAGAGTTATCATATTCAAGGACATGTGTTTGCTAAGATTTAAAAAAGTTTATTCTACATTCAAAAATATTAATCATATGATGCTACTTCAAGCTACATATGACAGTCACACTTATCAAAATTAATAAAAGTAGAAAATAATAAAATACTTATTCTAATTTTTGAAATAATCACAATTTAATACAAATACGTTGTCTACTGTTTCATATTTTGCTGCAAAGGCAGCAGTTTAATTGTCAAGCACAGCAGTTTCAGTTCGTAAGCAAATATTGATGCCTTTTATATCAAGACGAGACAGAGAAAGTATTCTTCTTTTAAAGAAGCATTTTTTTTTGCGAAGTAGTCTCATATTTCCGTGTCTTTGCCATATTTTTCAATTTCTGAATACATGGGGCTCATTTCCACTGTCGATGGCGCTGAGGGAGAATTGCTGTTATTACCGTAATTTAGTCGTGTTGCCAGTTCGTCTAATATTTCACTATAAACAGCAACGTCCAAATTTTTGCCCAGAAAATGTAACAAAACATATACACCTATCTGAAATCATAATTAATGCTTACTATTTTACCTAAAAGTAAATTGAATATTTTATATTATACGATATTACATCNAATTCATTAAATTCTGTTAATAATGATTGATAATAATTAATCCTTCTTAAATAAAAAACGAATATGAAAAATAAAACTTTTACGGAACTCAAAATTGCAAATTTTAATCGTCTAAATTTTCAGAACTCGAGTTTCTCCTTAATTTAAAATTAATGTTATACACAACAAATAAAGGAAACATTGTATTAATTACGCCTTAATTACATAGACATTTCAACCACAGAATGCCATTTTCGTACTGAAGTTATAATTATTTTGTTATTGAAATATGATATGTGTACAGTGGCTCTTAAAAGTGGACCTTTAGCATTCATATTTAAGCTATTAATTCTTCTAATATTTTATAAGGAAGATACAAAACATAAACGTTATGAAATTATTGTAATAAAAATTGTAATTTTCATTCGCATGCATTAAAGCACGTTCTTCGTTCATCACCCGCACGCAATTTTTTTCTTTTTTTTCACCTAACAATAATTACAGCATTTTTCTTTTGTTTTGTTCACCATTTCACCAATTTTTTCAAAATATGCCGACTATTGGGACATTTTCCCCAAATTCAAGAACAAAAGCAATTATGTTATTAAACAGTAATAAAATAAAATTCCGTAATATATTTGGATACATATTTAGGTATTACGCCTCCCCCTCCAAAGAAATGTTAGAAATCATCATTTTTTTACTATTAACTTTTTAAACTTATTAGTTTTTCAAAATTACAAAGACTGATTTTACGAATGTTTTTTTTTTCTTATTGTTCAAATACTCGTATGTATGTATTTAATTCTTGTATGTATAGTTTTAAATATGTGCATGACTAATGAACAATTCAGGTTTACAAAGCGAAGTGGAATCTTAAACTGTTCTCTCTTGTAATAGTTGCTATTGCATAGATTTACCTTTCAGAATAGAAATGGATAGATTGTTTGAGATCGATATTATGGATTTATTTTGTACACGCACTAAAAATGGAAAATATCACAGCACTTGCGAGCGGTTTCAATCACATTTTTGAATTTCAATTCACGCCTCACGTTTACAGTTACTAAGAGCCAACTGGTGTTGTCTGAACTTCGTCCCTCCACTCCAAATCCAAACTTTGTCTTCTTAGTACTTTACTCTTAAGAACTGTTGTTGGATGAAGAAGAAAGAGGTGGAGGAATGGAATGTTTCGACACTCGTCTAGCTCGTTTGAAACCTCTATTCGTTTCTTCGTTTTACAAAAGAAGCTTTCGTCAGTTACAGCCACCGGTTATTATTATGGTTTATAAAACCGGCAGCATTTGCTAAAACGGTTCGATTTTTACTTTTTCGAAGTGACTTTTCGAGCGATTGCCGACCCCAGAAGCGCGCAGGACATGGATAGATACCTGGGGACGATGCCGCCAATAATTGGAAGTTGGAAGCAAAAAGCGGTTTCCTCACTATCCTCATTTTAAACTCTCATCGATTTTCTTGAAATTGGTTTTCTAATAAACTACATAATTCATTATTTACGTACTGTACGCATTTAATAATTTCACGTACTACTAATTGAGGTCATCTTTGGTCAATGTCTAAATATTTTGTTAACGATTGTCACCTTGCAGCTACATTTTTTCTTTTGTTTCGTTGTTAAAAGTCACGGTTCGCTAGGCCAGAAGTAAAGAGTAAAAGTAAAAGAACATTAACATGTTTTTTTACCTTTCACCTCTTGAAACTGTTTCTATTTTAAAATTAACCATTTCGAATCCCCTATGTACTCAAAAAAAAGGCTTGCTTGTTCTTCCCTGTGTTCCTCCTTTTTTCTCAATAATATAATACGACCATGACTCCGAAAAAATATAATGATGCCTCTGATTGTGTGTTCTCTCAATAATGATTTTTTTAGTAGAAACTGTTGCTGATTATTATAAGATTTAATTCGTTTTGAAAGTATTTGATTGCAACTGCAACGGATCGTTTTATTATTTAGCGCGATTTCTTAAGCGTTGGCACGCATGTCGTCCTGGAGGCTGTTGAACTGCCTGATACATGTGAGCCGATGTTGCTACTGCTACCTGTTGATTACTTACAGTGAAAATGAGAAAAACAAAACGTTAACCCCTATTATTATAAGGCGGAATTTCCTGGCATATTTTTTAAGAATATTTAGAATGGAGATGAAAAATGAGTGGGTTTAGTAACTCTGCACAGGTAAAACAACTATCCTGCGAGGGTGATAAGGCTGGTAATAGATAAAAGTTTTTATGATAATTAATTAAATAAGTCAACATCATATTAACAACGATACGCGAAGAGAAGGGGTTTGCACTATTCAAAACGATGTAAAAGAGACCCTTTCATTCAATTTCGATGAGTGCAAAGTATTCGAAAATATTTTAAAAGAGGTAAAATTAATTTCCCTAATAGGTCGTACGGGTTTCAAGACTGAAAAGTTTAGGAATCGCTGGTTTACGCTAATCTTAAATAAAAATTACTTTTGTGGTTTAATAAAGCTTTTGAAAAATTGTGTAAAAGATACCCATAAGACCATAATTTTGTCTTTGCCAATAAAGAAAAATATCGACTTCCTGAAAACCAATCGAAATTAGGAAAGCTTCTGCTAATGATTATACTACGTAGCCTGTCTAAAAATTTAAAGAGAAATGCTTTTGAAATTCATTATGACTAGCCCTTTGAAATGAAGCTCCCAACTTTTCTTTCTAATTTTCTTTAAAAATACTTTCTCACTTTCAATCGTAGAAAATTAGGGCTTGACCTGGTTCCAAGGCAAGGAGCCGAAATGGTGGAGCCCGAATCAGTTTCAGTAATCGAACTTTATCAAGTTCACCTTCAAAGTGCAGAGAATTCGCAAGGAGCATCGGTAAACCCTGGCTCTCATTTCGTCCTCGATTATTGAAATTATTACAGCGTGACTGTAATTTTAGGCGCGAGGAACCCTAAGGAAAAGAGAACTAAAGAAAATTCTTACTCACCATTTATATTTCTGTATGAGAGATTTCGGCCATCACGTCGGAGAAGATACGGAAATATATTTTTCCCTTTATGACGCTAAAAAGCAAAAATACATTTCGGAACGATTCCTAGTCAAAATTTCCAAAGAAAACTTTTCGAACTATGTAGAGAAAATGCACAGTAATTGTACAGTATTCACAGTAAGTTGCTTATATAAAAACTTTACTCCTTCAATAATGAGTCTGGTTTTTTAGGACTTGGGAAATGCAGATCTCACAAAAGAAATATATTTAATCGCTCATATTATGCGAATTGGTAAAATGTTATATTCGGAAAGTTCGAGGAAAAGTGAGAAAAGCGGTACACTTACAAACCAAATTTTCAAACGTCCTTACGGCGTTGCTGTCCAAAATTTATGTGACGTTGTTAGTAAAGATTCTGAAACTGACGAAAAAGAGTTCTCCATGAAGGTTTGTTTATAGTCATTTCTCACTAAAGTCAATTTTGCTCAAAACTTCTTTAATTTCGTCTCTAGGTGTATCAAACCGAAGAAAAAGATTATCACCAATTGCACGAATTTTTAATAAGACAGTCTGGAAAGTATAGTACAATCTCTTCCCAACCAAACTATGGCAAGTTTTTTTTTCTTTTGAAGTCAATATTGCGTCAATATTTTTATAAATCAATATTGTCTTTTTAGGCATTGTGGTTTCTTTAAAAATGTTACACGGTCAACTAAAGCAGATCAAAGAGGAAAACCCTTTATTGTTTAAAAACATAAGTTTGACTAAAAAATTAGGTTTCCCAGACGTTATAATGCCTGGCGACGTTCGCAATGACTTGTACCTTTTATTAGAAAAGGGAGAGTTTGAAAGAGGTGGAAAGTCCACAGGGAAAAATATCGAAGTTACCGTATTAGTGTTAGATGGCGAAAAAAATATCGTGAAGGTATAAATATAACTGTTACTTATGTTTCTTTGTGTATTGTATTTTTTCAATTTTTTTTATTAGAACTGTATTTGGGGTGGTGCGGGCAACGAGGGTACAACAGAGTATAATTCAGTGATAATCTATCATCATAATTCTCCCACATGGATGGAGAATATTCGTCTTACCCTGCCCATCGATAAATTTGCAGGGGCTCACATTAGATTTGAATACAGACATTGCTCTAGTAAGTAAAATAAATGAAATAAATTGTAAATGTTTTCGATTTTTTTTTCTGCAGCTCGAGAAAAGAATGATAAAAAGTTATTCGGATTTTCATTTATTCGGCTGATGGATAAAAAAGGTGCTGCTGTACAAGACGATTTACACGAGCTTTACATTTACAAATGCGAGGATGTTGACAAGTTGACGAATTGTGGCTACCTTTCTTTTCCATATTCGAGCAAAGACAAGGAGGGAAATCACGAACTTAGTGGCGCGTTTTCTAAAAGTCATAGGGAAGCTATTTTTGTTCGATCCTTGCTATGCTCTACAAAACTGACCCAAAACGGTAAAATTCTTTGTTTATAAATATATCGATATGGATGTACATCAGAAGTTTCTTTTAGACGATCTCCTTTCTTTATTACGATGGAAATCGCACCCTGAACCCATTCATGCGTCCCTTTCAAAAGTATTGAATTTAGGAGACGAGGAATTGGTTAAGTTTCTTCAAGATGTTCTTGACGCTCTTTTCGCCTTATTTTCAACCGAAGATGGTAATTCAACAGTTCATAGTGGCCTGGTATTCCATGTCCTGGTTTCCATATTTAGCCTTTTGGACGAATCCAAATTTCAACATTTTAAGCCTGTCTTGGATGCTTATATCAAGGAGCATTTTGCTGCAGCTCTTGTTTATAAGTAAGTTGAAATTCACTTACATTACTCTATAATAATAACCAATTCAGTTTTTATATAATTGATATCTTTGTTTTTAATATACTTTCTTGTAAGCAATTATCAGGCTTTACATAAGGAGGTGGTTCAAGGACTCATGATTTCCAAATCTCCTAAAAATTAAATACTTGTATTGGATATTCTAATAAANTCTGTCTTCCTTTCGTCTGTCTCTATCAGCAATTTCTTATGCTGAAGTGTACGATGTGTTGCATACCTATTTACAAACAATTCCTTTAAATTTAATTTTTCTAACAATTTTTAACACAAAGAAAGTGATTAAACAAATTGTTCACAAAAGTGAATTTCGACCACTCGAAGCAATGGTGCTAACAGTTTCGAACTCAGACTGACTGATAGGGGGGATAGGGGAACTAGTTATTTGAATAAAAATGTATATTGAAATTAATCAATTAAAAATTGGCAGATATTATATCTTTTACGAATTAAAATTTTTATTAATATTCCCAGGGGTCTTTTAACCAGTGTTCAGCACTGTGCAGACTGGGTGACATCCACTGATAAGCAAGAACCGATCCAGAAATGCTTTAAAAGTTTAGAATACATTTTTAAATTGATAATTCAGAGTCGTATGCTGTTTGCTAGAGCAACTGGTGGTCAATACGAGGACAGTTTTAAGCGTGATTTGTACAATGTCTTTAGTTCGTTAAACAACATGTTGGCTATTTCGATGTCAACCATAATCGAAACACAGGTAACATTTGAAAAAATCATCATTTCGACAAAAAATCACATGAATCAATTTTATGTTTTATATCTCCAGGTTTCGTTATTATATTCAATTAGTGCTGTATTTGAACTGTTGGTGGATGTTTTACCCATTTCAGAAGTTGCAAAACTAGCAATTACCATGATTGATTCTTTACCCGTTGAATTACCCGCTCAAGTCATTCAAGCAAAGCTCACAGCAATTAAAAATTTGATAATGGGTAAACTTTTCCATAACGATGGTAAGACTTGATAATTTAACTTTTGTGGAATTATAAATTTTATTTTTTGTATTCCAGAAACTAGAAATGTCTTACTGTGTAACGCTTGTAAACATGTGCGATATCATTTGGCACACAGGGACGAACTTAGGTTGTGTACAGAGATATTAGGGGAAATTATGAGTTATCTTTATAAATTACGTAAGTCTTCTGATGAACAAGGAAAAATTAATAATTGTATTCATCACGACGTTGACACCTTATCTACCAACATCTTCAATGTTTTAATACAAACTGTCTTGGTTATCATTGATAAAAATACTACAGTAATAGTAAGTTACTATGTTTAAAATAATTACCCATGTACTTATTTCATTCATGTGATTATCCAGGGTCGATTAGTGGGATGTCTAATAGGTCTTTTACAACTTTTGGACGAATTCCATTACAAAAGATTGTGGGAAACATTGATGGGACCAAATTTAGATCGTAAACCCTTAAAAGATTTCTTGATGCGAGTTTTTTTGGTATTTAGGGAACTTGTGAAGCAAGAGGTTTTCCCTCCAGATTGGCTTGTTATCAAAATGGTCACAAATAACGTTATTTTGAAGGCTCTCCAGGAACTTGCGCAACCATTGGCTTTTAAATTCTTGGATAGCAGAACTGGTGGTTACTTTGATAAAGAAGTATTTATTTGTTTATTTTAGCTATAATTCATTGTTTGTAATGAATAATATTTATTCAAAGCTATGGACGAGTTATTTTAATTTGGCTGTTGACTACTTAACTCAAGATTCGTTACAATTGGAGCAATTTTCTGACGTAAAGAGGGAAAAGGTCATTGAAAGATACGGCGATATGAGGGTGTTAATGGGTTTTCAAATTTTGTCCATGTGGTCTCAGTTGGGTAAGTACATGAGCATCTTGTATAGTTACAATGATAATACCAATTTCGATATGAATTTGTAGGTGAACACAAATTGCACTTTATTCCTGCCATGGTCGGACCATTTTTGGAAGTAACTTTAGTACCTGAAATAGAATTACGTAAGGCAACATTGCATATCTTTTTTGACATGATGGAGTGTGAACAGAGGGTGCGTGGGAACTTTAGACAAGTCGAAAGTGAACTCATCGACAAGTTGGATATTCTCATTTCGGAAAATAAGGGTGACGATGAATACAGAAGATTATTTAACACGATGTAAGTAACTTTTATGTTGTTTATTTCTATTTTTGAAATCATCTAGTCAAGTTCAATAAATGATTTAAATTATTTGTTTTTCAATTTTTGTTTCATTAACTAAAAGTTGTACTTTTAACGCTTCCAAGGGAACATCTTAGTTCAGTGTAAGTTTTTTTAAATATAATTGAGTAATAGGCAGTAGATTATTGATTGATTATTAGCTAAGATGTTGTTTTTAGTTTAATGTATAGGTTTGTTGTAATTCTCAACTTTTTTTATAATTATTAGTATTATTTTAAAATATTGAATGCTATTATATACGTGGTATTCTAAAAGAGTTGCAAATTTTAAGGCATTAACTATTCAAACTAATACTGTAATAGTTAATGTTTAATCAAACAGCAAGTAATTAAAAAAGAAAAGATGTTTTAAAGATTCATAAAAATTAATAAAAGAACATACATTTTATCTAATTTTTTTCGGAACACCATGTGTATTCTATTCACCTAGATCCTAGAGATTGAAAGCAGGCGGTAACGTAGGTACTTCGGAAAATGAGTATAATTTGATTTTGTTGTATTCTTTGGTGTGGCTTCTCTAACAAAGAATAGTGTGAAAATTAGAAGTAAAATAAGACTTTATGTATTCAGTTTACTAGACCGTGTTCAATCGGAAGACCCAACTTGGAAAGATAGTGGAGCTGCTTTTATTAGTTCAGTTACGCGTTTATTGGAAAGGCTTCTCGACTATAGAAACGTGATACAAGGCGACGAAAATAGGGATAAAAGGATGTCATGCACATTCAACTTACTTGTACGTTTCAAACTCGGCTTGAAAGAAAGAGTTGGTTCTTTGATGTTTTTTACTTTTTTAGAATTTTTACAAAAACGAATTCAACAGAAAAGAAATGTACTTGCGTTACATATACAAGTTGCATGATTTACATTTGTCAGCTGAAAACTTTACAGAAGCTGGTTTTACAATGAAACTTTATGCAGATCAATTGTCTTGGAATAACGACTCGGTTGTAATGGATCCAAATTATAATAATTTAAAAGAGAGTGAAGTCAAAGAAAAATTGTATCATTTGATTATCAGTCATTTTGATAAAGGAAAGGTAGGTCCCTTTTCTGAACATTGTAATGGCTTTTGTTTAAAAATGGTGTTTGTTTTAGTGTTGGGAAAAAGGTGTGCCATTATTAAAAGAATTAGCCAATTTGTATGAAAGTAAGCTATTCAATTACAAGGCTCTTAGTGATATTTTAAAGTACCAGGCCAAATTTTATGACAATATTCTTACACAGCTCCGTCCAGAACCGGAATACTTCCGCGTAGGATTTTATGGGCTGGGCTTTCCCCTTTTTGTCAGGGTAATATCCTTTAATGATTTAATTTATTTCAACACTTTTTGTTAACGAATATGTTTTTCTCAGAACAAACAGTTCATCTACAGAGGACTTGAATTTGAAAGAATTGGTGCTTTCACACAGAGATTACAGACTGAATTTCCATCAGCGCAGATGTTGATGAAGAATACACCACCTGATGAAACGACCATCAATTCTGATGGACAATGTATCCTTCATTATATGGTTCTTTGTATATCATTTTTTTCTGTAAAATAATGAAAAGTTTTATTCATGTTTTCTTTAACAAAAATTAGTTATCCAAATAAGCAATGTCAAACCTATACCAGAACCAAATCCTATAATTAGGGCTGCTAATGTTCCTGAAAAAATATCTCGCTTTTATCATTACAACGACGTTAAACGGTTTCAGTATGATAGGCCTGTCCACAAAGGGATTGTTGATAAAGACAATGAGATTAAGGTATGTTCGTACATAAAATTGCTTTTACTTTAAATCTACTTCTTAGTCATTATTTTTAGACTTTATGGATTGAAAGGACGATTTTCGAGATCGAAAGTCCTCTTCCAGGAATCCTCCGATGGTTTGAGGTAGTACATAAGCAGACAGAAGAAATAGCGCCCGTACAATACGCCTGTGAAACGATGGAATCCGTTGAGAAAGAAGTTCGTCACTTAATCATGGTTTATACTGTAGAACCAAAAAGAAATCTGAATCCATTTACCATGAGGTTGCAAGGAATTATAGATGCCAATGTTCAGGGTGGTATTAGTAAATACCAGCAAGCTTTTTTCACACAGGAATTTGCCAAATTAAATCCGGAACATATGACTCATGTGTATCGATTAAAAAATTTGATTTTGGATGCAATGCAAGTAAGCATGATTTTAGCTTACCTTTACAGTATGATCTCTTACCAATACTAGGGACTGATATAACAGTAACTATTTGCTGTTAAAGGTGTTGGAATCAGCATTAGTATTACATGGAAGATTAGCTCCTGCTGGTGTTCAGCCTTTGCACCAAAGGCTTCTTGAAAGGTTCGCTCAATTACGTCAAAGCTTGGGTGCCATAGCTCGTTTAAAACGACAACAATCTGAGAGTATTGTTAAGTAAGAAATACTTTTTTTGTAAGTTATTTGCAACTAATAATTCTTTTCTAGCACTCCTCTGCCTCCTTTGCCTATAGACAAAAAATTGTACGGTTCGGAATATTACGGTAATCGACTATCTGGCACAAATGGATTTTATGGTGATCAAGGAATTTTGGAGTATGATGATATATACACAAAACCTGTGGTAAGATTTCGTAAAACTCAAGATACATGTGGTGATTTTATGAAGCAATGGAGTTAACTGAACAGATAATATTTTTAATTCAATGATGATTTTGTTTTAGGAGTTTTTGGATAAAATAGGTCCTAGCCGCGAAAATTTAACGCTGCCAATGGTATTCAATAATAATGATAGTGCTCCTCCAATTCCCCAAAGAGAAAATCGACCTCGTTCTCAGGGATACAGCATGACACCTACAAGTTCAGCAGAATGTGTAAGAACACCCACCAGAGGCAATGTTGATTACAACAGCCTACCATCGTTAAAGTCAAGGTAGCTATTACTTATTCCAAATACTTTAATATGATGTACCTATCTTTTTCAATTTCTATTTTAATAGTGATATTTGTGATATTCCTTTACCTCCAAAACCAACCCACTCAAGAGAGAGATCACTAACGAAACCCCCTTCACCAAGACTGTTGAGACACTCCATGTCAACACCTACGGAAGGGTGTATTCAAACCAGAAATTCATGGCCTGATTCTGGTATTGACGAAGCACCACCTTTACCGCCTAGATCCCACAGTAAGTCGTTTCTTTACTTAATTTTCTTCTATTCGACAAAATGAGACTGTTATAAATTGTTTTAGCGCCTGACAAGAGGCCGGATATTCCTCCCCCTAATGTTCCAAAACGTGGTCAAAAGAAACAATCACCTTCGTCAATTTTCAGTATCGATTCTATTGTAGATATATCATTGGACGACCCAAGTCATGATAATAATGGGGTTGTGCGAATATCCACTTCCACTGTTATCGAATCTACGGAAACAAACCACGAGCTTCGAGATTCAGGCATAAGTATTTCAGATGGTCCTTCCAATCATTTAAACAACTTTAATAGCTCCTGTTACGAATATTTTGACTTGCGGGTTCGTCAGCAGCAGCAAGAACTTAATATCAATCCTGGTACGTCGTGTGCACAGGAAGAAGGACCCGATGGTCCACCTCCTATCCCACCTAAAGTTAACGTTTCGTTGAATAATTCTAATTCTGAAGGAAATTCTCAGGAAAAAAGGGAAAGCGGCGTAGAAGTGGTTGAAAACTACTCTGTTCCCAAATTGCAAGGGGAAAGGCCGCAAAGCGAAAACAACGAAGAATTTTGTTAGTATGAAACGGATTTTCAGGTTTACCTGCATAATGCTCTTTTTAACTTTCTTAAAAAACTAAATAACTTATTATTCCTTCTGTACAACAAAAAAGGGAATATCGATAATAATCAATGTATAACATACTTAGCAAGTATACAAAAATCACCACTCTGCATTACTATTCGTTATTAAAAAAACATTTCCATATCTTTCAAGTTCTGTTTATAATATTTCATTAATAGCAATTGGATGTTTTAATGTAAAATGTTTTTGTTAAAGGGCAATCAAAAATTGAATTTTTTGTTAAGTATACCAAAAAAGAATGCCAAACTATTTTTCTTAAAAACGATTTACGTTAGTGAGATGCAAGGTATTTAAAATTTTCGTGATATATGTCATTAATTTGCAATTTTCACTTGTTTGTTATATGTGTGTGAACATCGATACTAGTTTATTTTAGTGAATTAATAAATTAAGAAAAGGATTAATTAGTTGTTAATAGAGTTAGGTGTGTCATTGTAGGATTGATTAATAACTATTGTAATAATTGCGACTGTTTGTCTTAAACTAAAATTTAATTTTTAATAACTTGTGGGTCCAATTAATTTACAACTCCTAAGACGTCGAGATAACGCAAATTGAATTTTGTTTTACATATTATGAATAAGTTATACCTTGCTCAAATATAACATTTCATACTAAAATAAGAAAGAGCACTAACAGGACATCTGGTTTATATAATTAAGTAATTTTTGTTAAATACCTTACTACGAGAAATGCTAATTATTCTCTTATAGAATCAAAACCAAGCTACTGAAATTTATTTTTCTATGCCCTCCTAATATAACATTAAGACAGTATTAATAATATTCGTTCATGACATAGATGCCAATGTTCAGGGTGGTATTAGTAAATACCAGCAAGCTTTTTTCACACAGGAATTTGCCAAATTAAATCCGGAACATATGACTCATGTGTATCGATTAAAAAATTTGATTTTGGATGCAATGCAAGTAAGCATGATTTTAGCTTACCTTTACAGTATGATCTCTTACCAATACTAGGGACTGATATAACAGTAACTATTTGCTGTTAAAGGTGTTGGAATCAGCATTAGTATTACATGGAAGATTAGCTCCTGCTGGTGTTCAGCCTTTGCACCAAAGGCTTCTTGAAAGGTTCGCTCAATTACGTCAAAGCTTGGGTGCCATAGCTCGTTTAAAACGACAACAATCTGAGAGTATTGTTAAGTAAGAAATACTTTTTTTGTAAGTTATTTGCAACTAATAATTCTTTTCTAGCACTCCTCTGCCTCCTTTGCCTATAGACAAAAAATTGTACGGTTCGGAATATTACGGTAATCGACTATCTGGCACAAATGGATTTTATGGTGATCAAGGAATTTTGGAGTATGATGATATATACACAAAACCTGTGGTAAGATTTCGTAAAACTCAAGATACATGTGGTGATTTTATGAAGCAATGGAGTTAACTGAACAGATAATATTTTTAATTCAATGATGATTTTGTTTTAGGAGTTTTTGGATAAAATAGGTCCTAGCCGCGAAAATTTAACGCTGCCAATGGTATTCAATAATAATGATAGTGCTCCTCCAATTCCCCAAAGAGAAAATCGACCTCGTTCTCAGGGATACAGCATGACACCTACAAGTTCAGCAGAATGTGTAAGAACACCCACCAGAGGCAATGTTGATTACAACAGCCTACCATCGTTAAAGTCAAGGTAGCTATTACTTATTCCAAATACTTTAATATGATGTACCTATCTTTTTCAATTTCTATTTTAATAGTGATATTTGTGATATTCCTTTACCTCCAAAACCAACCCACTCAAGAGAGAGATCACTAACGAAACCCCCTTCACCAAGACTGTTGAGACACTCCATGTCAACACCTACGGAAGGGTGTATTCAAACCAGAAATTCATGGCCTGATTCTGGTATTGACGAAGCACCACCTTTACCGCCTAGATCCCACAGTAAGTCGTTTCTTTACTTAATTTTCTTCTATTCGACAAAATGAGACTGTTATAAATTGTTTTAGCGCCTGACAAGAGGCCGGATATTCCTCCCCCTAATGTTCCAANAAATATGTAGAATTTATAAAATACTTAATCTATTGTATATTTTATTAGTTGATGTATACAGGTCCTAGATAAAATAAGACCTGTTGTATTCATAACAACCATGAACAGCAAACAGTATGGAATGTAAAAGTACCAAAACAATACAGTCTCATGTTGTTCTTTCTAATCAATTGCACAGTGCAGCGTCTACATAACAATATAAACATGTGCAAGCAAGTAAAATACAAATAGAATTTAGCAAAATCGGTTTTCTTTTTTTAATCTTCGATTTATTATTTAGACCTGAACTTAGATGTAAAGCTGTGTATAATTTACTTAAGATGCTTATATGTATATGTAGGTTTAATATAAACCAGCTGTTATTGTTAATAAAAATTTATTATTTATTTGCAATACATAGCTACAAGTAAAACAGTGAACACTCACAAAACAACCTTTATAGATAATATTGACAATACCATGTATGAGTGAAAATTAGACCATTTGTCAAGCTTATAAGTTTATCATTACCATAGCCACAAATAATATATTCGATTGTAATTTTCTCTTTTAATAGAATTCAGCATTAGTAGCTGTGTTTTCATAGACAGAACTGACCGCTTCTTTTTCTAATAAGTAATGTGGCAATTACACTTAAGTAAAATTATAAGAATTACATCAGAAACACCAACATCCAATGATGCAAGCTAAAATAATAATTATGCAAAATTTCCTCTAGCTTTATGTGCTTACATTCAAATAAAAAAAACATCTAACGATAAAACAGAATACGAAAAAAGAAAGCATTGGTAAGCCTCAAATACGTTTGGCAATGTTTATCATAATATCGAGTATATCATTCTAAACTTTTTAAATTGGCTTTTATAAAAATAGGAATGTAAACGAAGGTATTCTACTAATGCTCATATAATATATATATGTATATAATAATTTTAAACTCCATTAAACTCCGAATTTTTTGTAGCATCCCCGAAAAATTATTATAGAAAGTGTAAACGTTTAGGAAAATACATTTAAAACGGTAAAATGGCCTTATAAGTGATAAAAAATTGCAATTGAGATTTATAGTATTCAGTACAGCAATAGAATTAGTTTTAAATTATAAATTAGCCTTTTAAGCAGTCTCTTGATTGTTCAAATAAATTGAAATTCGATTTTAATCAGAATTTCGTTATCTTCCATGCAATTTTTAAATCTACAACACAACTCCTGCAAAATAATGCGATTTAAGATAAATTGTTGTACATAATAAGTTTCAGTAGTATATTTCTAACAACACAATATATTAACGTCTATTTATAACGTCGAACAAACAAAATGGTAATTAGCATTCAATTATACTTTGGCAGATGAATTCGTTGTGTTGACAATAACACCAACAAATGTTGATAAAAAATATTCTTCTGCTAATTGTTTAATGTTTATGTTCGACGTTACATTCATCAACAGAGAGTGCATAATATACTACTCTAACATCTATATAAAATATTCGACATGTAAATAATATTATAAGAATATTGTTAACAATCAGTCTGTGAATTTGAGTAAATAACAATAAATTGAGACTTGTAATTTTTGAGAACACTAAATGAACAATTTGGTACAAGTGTACAATAAAATCATACACATTTTAGCATTGAATGTGTATATGCACAAAATGAAATTATATTTAAGACCTAATATGTGCAAATATTATTTAACTTTTTTTGGAACAGAAAAATCTACAATTATTACCCGAACGTAAGTTCTCTTTGGAATTAATTAATTGTAAGACATCAAAATTTAAAATTACCAAACTGAACATTTTTTTACGAAAATTAACATAAATCAGACCTATCCCTCGTGAATAACATTAAGTTGAAGAGATTCCTTGCTACATACTTTTAAATCAGAACAACATAATATAATAAGGCATATTCAAATATGGTATATAAAAATAATTAAAGTGCAAACAGAACAGTGAGGTAAACGCAGCGAACAGTAGAATATTGTATTATCTTCATTAAATGGTGCAATTATAGCGACAGAGTGCCATACCATTTCTTTAAACTGTCTCATACTCCTTTCTTATGGAACGGGCCAAACAACAGGCAAAAATAATACCAAAAAGCTAAATTAAAAATTAATATTAATATTAGTAGTTTTCTTTACTTATGCATGTTGTATGTATATTTAAAGTTTTGATTATTTTATGTAGGGTCCATTAAAAACCAATAAAATGATTTTTTCTTGATATTTTTGTTCATGTAAAAATATCTGTCAATAGTTACTGTTTTATGAGTCAACTTTTTAATTTATAAATAGCAGTAAATTTACCTGCACACAGGCAACTCCAATACCAATTCCACCCAAAACTGCTGCATAGTTTTGAAGCTTTTCCTTCAGACCTTCTAAGCATGATTTAGTATATTTATCTAGTGAATTAATAGTGCAACTGTCATCTTTTGAAGAATTGGGGCAGCAAGTATGTGGTAATGAGTTATTGAAATGATTTACCAGAGTCCAATCTTCAGGCCCATTCATGCCACAGCATTTCACCTACCAAAATGTTTAACTAAATATACATGGGCAGGTAGAAATAAAAAAGTAATTACCTCATGTTGTAAAATGTCCCATGAATTCTGCACTTGAGAAGTATTATAATATTTATACATGGTTGAATTCATCTTATTTTCCAACATTCCTTCAATTTCACTCCTCTTGACATAGCCAATTATTCCAGTTGTTAGTTCCAGACAAAATATGACCACCAGAAATACGGAAAACTATATGATAATGAAATGAAATGTATAAAAGAATGATGTATGATAATATACTTACAGTAACTATCATGCAATGGTTTTCACGAACTGCTCCACAACAGCCAAAGAATGCAATTACAAAAACAATAATTCCGACAATAATTAAAATGACTGGTATAGATTCGTAGCTTTCATACACAAATTCAGAGTAATGAAAGTAAAGTGCATGTATAACAGCACCAGCTGTAAGAACTGCTATGCCTGAAACCTGTATAGATCATATTAGAAATAAAATGTTCCATAAGATTTAACATACACTTACCGCAAAAACTAAATTGAAGCAAAATAGTAAATATTTAATACACGTCATTCCACCAGACACCATTTTTGATTAAAAATATGGACAGTATCAAAACAAAACGTTGAAATTTTTAGCTCGAAAGTAATCCCAATATTCTGTAAATCTGACAATAACACTGGAACTCGCTTCAAAATCAGTCAATTAACGATACAATTAGTCAATAAGTAAACCACAACACCGAAACTAGAACACTTTGATAATTACTGATACCTACCATATACCTACAATACCCCCACTACTTGTTTTTATTTCGTTGTGCACCTCAACTATACCAGATCGATTTGTTTTTATGCAAACGTCACAAATTTTTGTTGTATAAAAACGCTAACTTCACCTTATAACTGTATGCGAAATACTGTTATCACATAAACTTAATTCGATTCAAAATTATAATTATTTGTTAATTAATAGCTACACTTGGTAGTTGATACTTTCTTGTTCTAAGCTGTATTAGAAACGCTAACCACCAAGAATACACTTATGTTAAAATGAAATGATGACAATGAAGCACAGTACAAAACATCCTATATACAGAGTGTCCAAATATTTTCTTAAAAAGGCAACACAATATTGGGACAACTTTAAATTTTTGGTTCTTTTAAAGATGGGTAAACAAAATCTAATGCATATGTCTGCATATAAAATAATTAAAAATATTTATTAAAAAAATAATTTAAAT